CATCCTCGTGGAACTCGGACATGGCGTTCGCTGTCGTTATCTCCGACTGAATCCATCTACCAGAAGTCTTGTCGCGTTTCCACTCTGTGACAACAAAAATATGTGTCAGGTAGTCTTCATATGTCGTGTGGTTTCTTTGCGTCACGACACTGACCCAAGGCTCGACGCAGCAGTCCAAAACCCTTTCTTTACCATCCAATTTCTTCCTCTGCTTAGAGGTTTGCTGCTTAGCATAGGTTATAGCCTCTTCTTTGGATGTATATGTGGCCCACTCTCCCCCATCCCTAAACTGGTTGCTGCTTGGCGTGACATAAGAAGCTATCATATCGCGTAGCTCAGTCTGTGAAGCAGGGATAAAAAGATCCTCGTCCGCAATATCTTCGGCGTATATAATTCTGTACTGATATATGTTTGGCGGATCTGGCTGTCTGAGTGCCTCCGCCACGCCTTGACCGCGGTTTCTTGCCCTGTGGACAGAAAACAAGAAGTGGCCATCTTTGTCCATCGCTCCACCGTATAGTTTTTTTTCGTCATCATCCTCCGGGTATTCTTTAAAAACGTCGTCGATATTTCTATCGAGTTCCTCTACCGATACACCATGGTGGCTTCTGTTCTCTGATGCGCAGAGGTCATGTATGGCTTTTTTCATGGAATTCCGCTCCTCCGCTGAATCGCCAAAGATGCCCGCATATTCTATTGCGGAGTACTTCGTGAAGGCCCAGTAATACACGTCTTTCGCTTCGTCGGTCATGATGATGGGTATATTTTTAGATGCTCCGCTGGACTGTGGCGATACTTTCGGGATTTGGAGGAGAAGGCGATTTTGAATGTTCAATGTTGGTATGAAATTGGAATGAGCAGTAAGTTCTCAGTTTATATACTACAGACCTGAGTCACTAGCAATGAGTTGCAGCCATTCTAGTCATCGATTGGGCCATGCCTACAGTCACTTTCGTATGACACAGCTTTGCTGACTCAGAGGTATTGTCATTTGGGAGGCACCCCCCACGAACATTCCCAACTGACCCTCGGCATCGTTCGCGACAACCCTCAAAACTATCAAGACCTGTCGCATACTCGTATAATCGTTGAGCCATTTCTCTATGTCTGGTACGGCTTGGCTTAGCTCCCTCATCTCGTCGCATGCTGTCAACAATGATCCGGTCTGGGCACCAATGCTACTCAACCGAGTTTCAACACCATTCGATCCCTGCTTGCAAGGCCAAATGAGCATGTCTTCAGCCTTTTTGCATGGTGTGAAGCATTCTTGCCAATCCATCAACTCTTTTTTGTGCATGCTGCACGAGTAAACAGTGTACAAATCTGCTTTCTCTCCTTTTTCTTCACATTCGCGGATCTTTTCCACAACTTCAGAGCTGGCCGACAACAAGCTGCTGACCCCAAAACCCTCGCGGTTTTGATCGCCCGCTATAGTCCGGCGCTTTTTGAGAGCTTGGAAGATGAAGCCCGACGGGTTTATCTCATCTCCGATCTTAGCAAGTAGGATATCGTTCATTCCTTCAATGTTTAGTTTGCAAAGGTTGAGAAGACGCTTCCGTGCTGCGTCAAGACCGTGTTCGGTGATCAAGTAGGGCCCGATTAGATCTCTCTTCTTGGGGTAGGTTACTTGTAAGTAAACGAGGTCCCTGTCGGGGTTGAAGTCTTTGTTGGAGGCCATCTGAGACGAAGATTGTGCCAGCTCTGTGGTGGTGTGAAGTTTGCTGATTTTGGGCTTATATGTGTGATAGATACAAGTTTAGAATTTGGGAAACGAATTCCGTAGGGTATTTACACATGAAGTGGTTGAAGCAATGACTCAACCTCGACAGTTACGAACCAACACACACACACGGACCTCCATGATACCTTTCGCAGCGCACAGATCTTCCTAGGCCGCTGTGTCATTTCCCAATATGCGACTGAGAAAGAGTTCAGGGTAGTCGTAGCAAGCTCCGCAAGCACCATACGTTGCTGAATTACCTAGGTACTTAGCATATATGCTGACCATCAAATACGATGTCAATCCAGGCGACCGCTACTCACCACGATGTCTCAACACACTAAAGGTTCGGATCCTGTACTCCAGCCCCAGATGACGAACCGCATTTCAGGATCACGCCGACCTGCCCCACTACTTTACAAGACTCAGATGGCTCTCCAGGCGTGATCTCACTATCCAAAAGAACGACACCCGCCCAAACATACCATGCCGTCGGGCGCAGCTCTTTAAACTCTCTTCCATCTCCTTGCCCTTTGCGAAGCTCGTTCTTCGCATGTTCAATGGCATCAGACTCGTTGATAAAGCTTCTGAAATCATCTCCCTGTTCCAAGCTTTTATGCCCATTCTGCCATGCTAAAATGATCTTGGAATAGTCATGCGCAAGATCTTTGATCACGACCTTCTCTGCCGCAGCTTTCGACATGTAAGCTTGACGAAGCTTCTGCGTATGGTAGATACATAGTTTGGGCGGAGAGGGTGATTGAAGCGCGTCTGCGACCGGCTTGTTGGGTTGCTTCTCGTGTCTTATGCTAAAGAACTCTATGTCTTGGTCGTCTTTGGCAAGGTGTTCTCGTGTGCCATCGCCGAGCCCCTTAGCTAATTCATCGGCGAGTCTCTTTTCATTGAATCGATCGCCTCTGTGATCTTTACAGTAATTCGACAGATCCGCCCGCATCAAATTCAGCGATTTTTCTGATTTGCTGTAGACAATGCTGCTGTTGTTATGCCAATAATAGTGGACGTGAAATACCTCGTTCTCCTGGGAACCGGACATGGCAAGTTGTATGGACGAGGCTTTGTAACGTGGTAGTACCTGGGTATGATAGGCGTAAGTAAGGTACGTAGTATGTAGGGAATCTCGGTATGCGTACGAACCTAGAAAGACGGAGTCCTGATTTTATACCACAGCACCTTTGAGTCATGTACAATGACTAACAGCAACCTGTTAGTCATACATGGACTGTAAGGATGAGCTAGAAGTCGAAGTAATACACTTCTAGTCCAAAGCTATCACAAGCTTTACGAGTTTACGACACACCAATGGTGATAATGAAGCTCACGGTACCTCGGCACACATCACAGCGCGAAAATGGTTCGATAACATCTTAAATACGATAGAATCGACAAAAGGATATCTTACTCCCAGCGTGATTATGTAGAACCCCGACAACATGATGGAAGCTTCGATACTTGATCCAAAATGAGGGTCATCACGAGCACCAGTTTGTCCTTCAAACCCCGTGGTGATACCGGTTCTTCCTAGCCATCACCTACGCTACATTTGAGTAGTCACAAATGCTAGTTCCCACTTACGGTGCATATAGAGAAACCAACGCGACCTTTGCGAACTAAAGCATATGCAGATTGGTCATCTGTAGGTACGTTGCACGAAGCGCAGAGCACCATGTAGCTTTTGCATCGGTCATCTCCCTGTAAATTGCTCGCGAACACTATCTTTCAGGACTGAGGAGGCTGCGTAGTCGATGTAGATCCACTTGATCGGCTGAAGATGAGTCCACGATGTAAGCCCGGTTCACGGGAACTCCAACGTATATTGCACAAGATCCACCTGGGGTTCGCTCATTACTCATCGTGTCCATTCGACTCAGCAGATGTGTCACATCGCTGTCAGGCACAGACATGTTTTCTTTGTCCTCATGACGGGACCGTGTTGTGTACCTCCGAGGCATCCGCTTTCCGGTAGTACGCACGCATTGGTCAGGGCCATGAACCACACCTCGGAGTGACCGAATAAACAGATCTGAATGTTGACTTCAGCCTTGTCAGTAGAGCTTTCTCATGGCTGGATGGCAGCGGCACACAGAACGTCCTGATGAAACGCACTGTTCACTACCGAATATGTGCAGTGCGGTGTGGACTCGGTGTCACTCAGTCCTGTTCATGCTGTCGGTATAGCTGTCGGCATAGCCGGCGCCGACGGAAGTGACGTCCTGAGTGCGCATCGTGATGTTCGTAAACTTGGTTCGCTCATGGTGTAGTTGGGACGTCGAAAACGTCAAGGTAGAGACGAACTAGTTGACGCACTCTCGCGCAGCCAAAATAAGCCAAGCTCTCGCGAACGAGTGAAAACAGGGAGTATATAGACAGGTGCTGAGAGCTTCGTGGTCTTGGTGTTGCTGTGGTCCTTCGCTCAGGGTCAAATCGGAAGCTGCGAGTATTCGCGCTAGCCGAATTAAGCCACACTACGTCATTTGCAAGTAGGATGGCGAGCCTTCCGAGGTCGTGTTATTTGTCGCTTACACAAACGGCTACTCCTGAGATATTGTGTTCTACGCGGAAAGATCGAGCTCTTGGATGTTCTTCATTCATTGATACATGACACTACGTAGGCGGCAATGCGACAGCGGTTGTGCCACGCGTCCTTTCATACCTAGGTACCTCCTGAGGTCAACATGGACTTCCTTCCGCTCTACCCCATCCACGACCATCTTCTAGGCTTATCACACCCTCCCAAATACCGATAGCAGCATTGTTCGCTCTCCTGTTAATCACGATTAGTAAGCGCTGATTGCGCAGCGTTCCCTGGCAAGTACAGCCATGCGGATCTGGTTCAATCTAATATGTATCTAGAGAAGCTTGTTGTGTTTGCTGCATCCGTACCAGGGAACATCTCTACTGTTCCTTAAATATAACGATACCGTATCATCCACCACTCCGTTGAACATCCTCTTTCAGATCTTTTGCTCTAACAAGAGCTCACTACGGATAAAAGCTTTTGGTAGATGAGTATCAGTATACGAAGTGCGGTGACCTAGGCACGTGTCTTCGACTAAGTAGCGGAGTAGATGTACCATTGATACGAATTATATCAAGCGTTTTCTCAGCGACAGGATTTGTATTAGGATAACTGTCCATGGATCTCGGTGTAACTATGATACAAAAATCCGTGAAGGAAAGACAACCCCAAAACAATAGTGTGTATGACCCCATGTGAAGGGCTACCGAAAGCAGTATGTTAGACTGGTACGCCCAAGTGCTCCTAGAAGAGCGCACACCATTCCGGAACTCTTCCAGTTTGGGTAATGCGAGCCGTCTTAACTGCATAAAGCTTGTAATACACGGGCAAGCCCCGATTCCCTAACTCACCCGTCTCCACCTCCTCCTTGGATGGCACCTCATATAAGACTTCATCCGCGCCCAAGTTTTTAGGTTCTTTCTCAAACGTAAATCTTGCCTCTCCCGCCTTCGCCTCCGCGTACTCTATAGCCTTGGTTTTGTCCGTGAAGACTTCGACTCCTTCCTCTATGGGCTCGGGAAATGAAGATTGTTCGGCATACTTCTTAAAGCGCCAAACCGGGAGCTTTAAATAGTCTTCTATTCTGTTGGTGGCCCCGGTCAAATTATTTGTCATCTCTATGGTGACCAGTTTACTGAGCAATTCCATTTGGATTCTTCTGACGCTGACGTAGAAGATCCTCAATCCATCTCCGTATGTCGCCTTTCGTTCTTTTGGAGGCCGGTATTCGTCCATATCCTCGCCTGCCGCGAGCTTCTTCATGGCTACCGCGGCATCCTTCTGGAATCCTTGGTTGAGAGTGATTTTCTGCTCTGTGAATACGATGTCATCCGGAGTAGAATCAGGTAGCAATGTCGGAAATGGCCGTTCGAAGTCGGGGTATCCCGCCATTTGAAACAGATCATTCACAGCGTCGACCATCTGATTTTCCAATAGGGGTTTCGCATCCTCGTGTATAGGGTCGAAATACTCTCCTAGTATTGTATTGACAAAAATCTTCGCCTCACTGTTTCGATGCTCTTTTGCGTTGCTGGAAGGGCCATAGAGTCTTTGTCGGCGGTCCTGCTTCATGACGATCCAGTTCGTGGCATGCTCCTGGTTGCGCTCCTAACTCGACATAGTGGGAGGTCGTTTTCTGGTTCGACGGTTGATCTCGAGACTCGAAATTGGTAAATAGGATGATGTGCAAGACTTTGGTCGTTTGCTTGAGTAGTTATGTGAAGGACTTATAGAGTCCAAAGCCGCCCGCCCTGGAGACCTTTTATACCTTCCCAGAACATGACTCTTCATATCAGCTACATGTCAATACAGTCATTACATGACGGAGCGAAGCGGATATGCTTGTCAATGACACTGGTCTTCATAGTCATATGGGGAGTGCACTCCAACACCCACAGCATGAGCTGTGGAAGGCCCGCGATGACTTACTGCCGCGATAAGCGAGTCTTTGCGGGTTCTACATCGGTCACCATCTTGTGATTAGGACGCCGAGAGATCTAACCAGCGGGAAAGTGAGCTCGAGAGACTCATCGAACACATTTCTACTAGCGGAGTATCACTCATCGATGTGAGCAAGGTGGGCTAGCATTCCGATACGTCGCTGCACGTCTCCACATAAGGCTCCTTCGACGAAAGTCGTCCGTCAGCTCGGGTTCATGGAGTGTTACGCAGTGCCCGGCACAGACGTGAGTTCTTTGTCAACAAGGTGGGACCGAGGGACTGCTCCACATAACATGCGCAGAGGCCACAGGCTTGACATACGTATAGGTAGCGACTGTCGCGTGACTGTAATTCTGATGTCGCCATTAGGTGTCAAAAGCAGACCGACCCGTACGAAGAAGGTCTACTGTCCACCGCTCTAGTTACCTGGCATCGCGACAGTCTGCCGCGCCTCCGACGGCCACTCATCTCTGTCTCTATACGCTTTTTTAACGAATAAATGCCACAGGACTTACTGTGTACTATGTCAACGTTTGATACATGCCCAGATGTAGCTACAACGTCCCTTTGACGTTTGCCACAGGTGCAGCACCGAGCGCCAAGAGTTTTGACACTTCATCATCGTATTAGACAAAGTGAACCAGTCCAATAGAAAACCACACCACGTATGTTCTGGTAGAGAGCGTAGGAAAAAATAGAAAGATGATGGTTGAAGGGAAGTCGGAGCCCTGGAGTGCTTTGTGCTTGAGCCGGGACTGAGCGTCACCGGCTAGCGTGCCGCATCCAGCCGTGACGTGATCAGCGTACACAATGTCTACGCCTCCGCCTACTTACTACTGTAAGCGCATGGAAAAGTCCTCCCTCGATGATCGTGGACAAATGACTTGCATAACAATCTCAGTTGAATAAAACTATACGAGCGCTATTGCCGATAGCAAAAGCGATTTGAAAAGGATGAACGATAGGTATACCCAAGCGCCATAACCGTATCTGTTATCCAGGTTCTTCTGGTGCTGAACGCCAATGATGCAAACAAAAACCATGCTCTAAACTTCGTATCTTCCTCGACCTTGCCCAGTAACCTCATTGCCGAACAACCGTCCGGCGTCAACACAATACCGAGCCTCTCCTTGCCCGTCGCTTCCTACTTCGCTACCCCAGCACACAAGCACTGCGTCCAGGATACCCCCGAGAACTCCTTCCATAGCGCCTAGGGCACCCCAACCTATCGCTGCGCTGATGAGACCCACGACGTATGCGTATAGACTGCCCTTGTATGGTACAGACCCGCCGACTTGGAGCATGCGTGCAGTCGAGACCCATCCACCGAAACCAAGAGACAATGTTATGACCCAGCGGATGGCGTGGAGAAGCAACTTTGCCAGACGGTATGACTGAATCGATGGTCGGCCATGGTCCTTGAACGAGGATGGGCCGAGGGTTGTGGTTGGTGAAGCAGCGGAGATGAAGTTCATCTGTGACAGACCGCGCGCTGCTTGATTGAGAGGCACACCGTGGATGGAAGCGTAGGTCAGGGTAAGCGGGTTCGTCAATGCAGCGATGGGCGTCGGCACGACTGAATATGCGCACATGCCAATCATACCCGCCAGTCGCCTTGGAAGTACGATGAGGGGAAGGCGGACCAGGAGTGAGATCAGTGTTGACAAACAGATCGTGCCGGCCATGGTGTAGGTCGCGTGACTGAGAGAGGCTTGGACCACCGTTCTAGCCGCGGGTGCAGGCACGCTGTTGCGGTGGAAGTACCATTGAGATACCGTGGCTGCCGTCGTGGCGCGTTGCACACCCGCAATGACCGCCAAACCCCAGAAAAAGTCCAAGAAGAATACAACACCAAGCCACCACGTACTAGCATCAATGATCCATCGGGACTTGTTGCTAGCAAAATGGCCGCCAAGGAATAGACGTGTGAACATGAGGATCCATATCCACGCCCAGAGTATCACAGCAGCTAGTGTTGCAATACCCACGAGTAGCAGTGGGAATTGCGCTCTCAGGATCTCACTTGAGAACTCCAACATGCCTGTAGCTTTGTCTAAAGAATGCCGTGCCTTGAAGATGGTGTACACCCAGAACCCAGCGAAGCACAAGGGCCCAAACGAAAGCCAGCGCATCAGCCGGTCTTGTACGCTATCGCCATGCCATGACCCTTTGAAGCTTGATGCGAAAGGGTATACAAAGAAGGAAAACGATATCACTGGTACCGCCAGTAACATTAACTGCACCAAGGGCCGAGCGAAGGACCGAAGTAGCGATAGCCACAGGACTCCGACGATGACCGAAACCAGTGTGTACACACCGATGAGGTGGAACGACGAATGCAGGACAGTATATATCGTGTCGCCCAGTGGATTCTTCTTGTTCGGTGGCGACTCTTGGAGAAAAGAGATGATCCATGTGCCAAAGATGGCACACTGCACGATTATGAAGAGCTCAGCCCAAAAGAAGTTGTGTCGTGGTGCTGATGTCGGGTTCTCTGGTACGTCATCGGGAACGGTCTGGCGATCCGGACTTATTGGGCGTGGGTGTTCGAGCAGGGTGTCTTCGTCTGTTTCCTGCGGTATCGGTAGAGTGTTTCGTATTGGGCTGCGACCGCGCTTCGGCCTCGGCATGTTGCGAAACTGTTGGAAGGGTGGCGGTGGTTCGTCCTGATGACCCAGGAGCTCGTTTCGGTCCAACTCTTCTATACTCCCCCGATCTGTGGAATCAAGCTCCACGTCTACGAGGTGACCTCTCCCCCTGCTGCTGCGGTCTGTAGTCTCAGAGAGCGGCACACTTGACTCTCTTTCCTCGTCTTCTGGGTTGTTGATAACAGTCGATCTGCCGCGAGCTGGCTTGTCGCCCTTCCAGGAGCTCTTAATCCCTCTCCCCAGACCATAGCCGGGAGCTTCATTCTCGTCCCTGTCCGCACCTATCGTATGATCGGATCTTTGGCCATGTTCGTCATCGACTTCAGATGACTCGGATAGATTGCTTGCGCCAAACTGCCGCCGCGAGCGTTGCAGCGCGTATTGGTCTGCTAGGTCCCTGTCATGCTCGGCATGGTCGTCCTCCTCGCGAAAGTCATCGGTGGCGGAGTAGAAGAGTGGCGCGGGCGCGTTGGATGTTCGTGAAGCGAAGGCAAAGCGGCTCATGGCCTGCGAGTTGTATGGGTTGGGCATGTTGCGACGCTGGAGGTAAGCTTGGGAGGCGCGCGAGGACGGGCGCTGCCTGTCGGGGGCGTTGCGGGTTGAAGTCGGCTCGGGCTGGCCCAGTGACAGCCGCGACTGAGACTGGGAGAGGAACTTGGATGCATCTGGGGAGCACGCACGTCAGTCACGCGAGTCGATAAGCTGCCCAAGACGCAGGCGGCGGATCTGTCACATGTACCCGATAAGGCACCAGGTCCACTTACATTCAGAGAACATGATAGATAAAGTGCGCGATAGATGTGTATATGCCTAATGAGCTCGGCGATGGCGGCCAGGTATATCTATCGCGAGCAAAGTCCCGAAGCGAAGGTGGCTCAGGTGCGAGGTCAGCGGTCGTGAGGCGGTCGAGCGCAAGGGTACCGGAGTACAAGAGGCAGCCGCGGATGACGCAGCCTAAGAGACATGCAGCTGGGGGCCGGCAGAGTGCGCAGTGGCCAGCTGGAGATGGTAGAGACGGCGGTGGTAGGGCGGTAGCAATAGGACAGCAGGGAGCTCTAGCCCGCCTAGGTGGTGAGTGAGTTGAGTGGCTGGCCGGGTGCGCTGGACTGATGGTCGCTCATCTCATCATCGTGCCAAGCCAGCGCGTCGGGTTATCGATTGTCGGGCTCACGTACCTCGTGAACATGCAAGGCACGCGCTATTCCCTAGCCCCCAGAACTGCTCCACCTCACATGCAAAGCATTCGGTAAACTTGTCTCTACGGGTCTGCAGACAATTTTATCTTCTTTAGTCGTGCTCTTTAGGAAGTAATTTTGCCTTCGTAGTGGCCGCCCGAGTCAAGGCACTCCGATCTCATGTTTGTCAGCCTCATGTTTCATAGTGGCAATCAATCAAAGCTACAGAGAAAAGCAATATGAATGCGGCCAAAGCTTGCGCAAAGTAAGTTGCGACATGCTTTTCACATTTGCCATGGGTTGCATCCTTCAACTGTGGCTCAAGCAGCTGCCGAGCTATGACCGCATGGCCGGGACCCTGACCTATCTCACTCACTGTCGTCCAACTGGCTTCCTGTCAAACACACCCAAAGCTTCGACTTGCGAACTACTTTATTCTACATACATTCTCAACAATAAATACCGTCTTCCTATACATATCCATCTACCTCTACTGGATTTGCTGTGACCACCGCCCTAAGCCTGCACCTCAGGTCGACTGCTACACCAGCCACACGGCGTCACAAAGCACCATGGCGCAGCCGTGGGACTACATAGCGAAGATCGTATCGTTAGGCGATTCAGGATGTGGTAAATCGAGTGTATGCGACACCATCCCCGTTACCCAGGGCCTCCATGCTAACGCCTCCCAGCTAACAGTCCGCCTCTGCGAAGGCCGCTTCTCACCACACCACGACGTAACTATCGGCGTAGAGTTCGGATCGCGCATCGTCCCTGTCGGCCCACCAGCGTCGCATTCCCTGAGCATCAACAACCCCTCCAAATCCTCACAAGCACAAGCGCCTGTATCGCCGTCGAAACAAAAGCAGGAGCAGAAGCACATGAAGCTTTCGCTATGGGATACAGCAGGCCAGGAGACGTACAAGAGCATCACCAGAAGTTATTTCCGGGGCGCATCGGGCGCGCTGCTAGTTTTCGATATATCGCGGAAGAACACGTTCCTCTCCGCCACGTCATGGTTGCACGACTTGCGGCAAATCGCCGAGGAAGGCATCGTCGTGGTGCTCGTGGGCAACAAGTCTGATCTCGCGGGGTCGTCTACCGTAACTGATTCGGACGCCGCGAACAAGCGACAAGTCACAAAAGAAGAGGCTGAGGAGTGGTGTAAAGCGAATGGCGTCATGCAGTACGTCGAGACGAGCGCCAAGAGCGGGGAGGGTGTGGAACAAGCCTTTTTGGAAGTCGCAGAGCGGATCTACCAAAATATAGAAGCCGGGAAGTATGACCTGAACGATCGAAGGAGTGGAGTCAAGGGGCCGGGAGGCGGAGCGAATAGGGCAGGCGTCAATCTGAATGACGCGAGTAAAAAGGGAAAGCAACAGGGCTGGGGCGGGTGCTGCTAAACTTCGGTATATACTGATTTGGGTCAGACCATCGTGCCTATGGGTACATTATGTTGGCATACATCATTTGGCGTCAGCAGAGCAGTGGTCAGCTCGTACATAGCGTTATTGTAATGAATCTATTATCGCTTCAGCGGGTACGTTGCCCCGGCCAGAGATCGCGGTCGTGCTCATCTTTCTATTATCTAATAACTTTTTCGTTCAAACTTTTGAGGTGTCTCGTTGTGGGCTCTGACCATAAGCGTAAACATAACCATAACTGAACAGGTGCTCTGAAGCCTACATTACTACAACAACGTAACGTTTGAGACATATTAGGGCAATGTAGCCCTATCAACTTTTTTTGGATACACACCGTAAAATATGGCTGTCCAGCTTTTCGCTTGGGAGTACCGTGGTATTGCAATGACCAATCGCCAACAAGGCATTCACAACTTGCCATCGTAGTACTGTGGTAGTCGATCTCGTAACCCAAGGTACAGTATCTACAATCAGCATGAAAAAAATCATCTGGAGTAGTATAAGATGAAAGGCTTTTCCTTCTCATTCCTTCTTCACATTCACTCAAACTCATACAGACTCACACAAGCTTACACAGATTTAGAGAACTTTGCAAAACTTATCACAACCCCAGTACATCTTGGAAACGATGCGCTTCCTGGTAGTGTTCCTCCTTTGGCTCAGCACCATAGCTGCCTCTTACCCAGCTGGCTCGCATGTCGTCCACGACAAGCGAGATACGGACCCGGTAGGAATGCAAAGAGTTTCGCGTGCACCGAAGGACGAACTACTCCCGGTGCAAATCAAGTTGAAGCAGCAAAACTTGGAGCATGGCGCTCGCTTTGTCCAGGACATCTCCGACCCGGATTCACCCAACTTCGGTAAGATGAACTCTTACTCATCACATGCGACATACTTACACACTGGATAGGCAATCACTGGACCCTCGAGGCAGTCAACAAAAAGTTTAAGCCTCTACCAGTGACGATAAACACCACTCTCAACTGGGTTCATGCGGCTGGCATCGAGAAGAGTCGCACCAAGCTCTCGTATGGTACGTCATTGTCTATCGGGCCAGAGTAGTACCAAAACTGACGACACGTAGACCGGACTGAAATCATGTTCTCAGCGACTGTCAATGAGATTGAGGAACTACTTCAAACGGAGTACCACGTTTTCCAAGATGACCAATCTGGCGGATACCAGATTGCATGCGATGTTTACAGCCTTCCAGAGCACGTCCAGGAACACGTCGACTCCATCGCGCCTACTATTCAGCTGGTCCGCTCGCATCCAACGGCTCTGGCAAGAACAGCGACGAACTATCCGGCTACCCACGATCACACTCCTGCTCCTGGTGGCCCCGAAGATGTCTCAAACTGTCGGAATATTTTTACCATCCAGTGTCTGCGCGAAATGTACGGCGTTCCTGTTGCCAGCCTCAACCACACCGGCAACGAGCTCGGTATTCTTTCGCTTAATAACTGGCTCTGGCTTCCAGACTTGAAAGATTTCTTTAGGAACTATACGAGTCCTCAGATTCCGCCGGATGTTGAGCCAGAATATATCTCCATTGATGGCGGCAAACGGGGGAACCGGTCTGAAATAGAAGCTGGCAAGGGACGTGAAAGTGCGTTGGACGTTCAGACTGCGTACTCCATCATCTACCCTCAACAGGTAAGATTGTACCAAATCGACGATACAACAGCAGCAAGGGCGGCTGGCGGCGGATTCAAAGCGCTTCTGGACGCCTTGGTGAGTATTTTTATACCTCTCATATGACGTAGCAACTGCTAACGTACCCAGGATTCTTCTAACTGTTCCCCTCTGGGCGATGATCAGCAAAATTCTACCTCATATTACGTTCCAGTCAGTTATGGAGGAAAAACGGGCAACCTGCAATGCGGCGGTGCGCCATTGAGTCATGTCATATCCTACTCATACGGTTATACAGAGTCCGAATGGTCTCCGCGCGACCTGAGACGTCAATGTCACGAGTACATGAAGCTAAACCTGCAAGGCGTCAGCGTCATTGCCGGGTCGGGAGACGAAGGCGTTGGAAGTTCCTGCACGAAGTTCAAAGCTTTCTTTCCTTGCACATGCCCTCATGTAGGTATCCATTCTTTCAGCCTTTCGATCTCATTTTGCAGCTATACTAATCTTCATAGGTCACCTGTGTCGGCGCCACCGGATTGATAGATAACACCATTGCCGGCGGCGAGATGGCAGCCAATTTTAATGGTGGGAGCTATACTTCTGGTGGTGGCTGGTCTAATGTCTTTGACCGTCCACCCTGGCAGGACGACGCTGTCTTAGGCTATATCGACAAATTTGCTCCTCCATACGGACAAGAGGTCTATAACCGCCGCGGTCGCGCATACCCAGACGTTTCGGTCAATGGCGGGAACAGGCCAGTTGTAATCCTCAACACTACGGTACCTACAGGTGGTACGTCAGCCTCAGCACCCAGCTTCGCCAGCTTGATCAATATGCTCAATGAAGAGCGATTGAAGGCAGGCAAACGACCCATTGGCCATTTGAACTACATCATATACAAGTACCCGGAGATGTTCAATGATATTGTCATCGGAAACAACCTGGGATGCGGTACGGATGGCTTTCCAGCGAGTCCGGGATGGGATCCGGTTACGGGACTCGGGAAGTGTTCTTGGCACTTAAATGAGATGGCATTTCGGTGAATGGGGTGGAAGATGCCGAGCCAGAATTGCATGATCTTGTTTAGCAGTACGATGCCTTCTTCGGCAACGTGTAGTGACCCTCGTAGCGAACAACAACTAGAATCAAACATTTGGCATCCCCCTTTCTGTCCTTTCCGTCCCTCCCATCTCTTTGAGTCCGACTCCGTAGAGGCTTGCGCGTTCTCCAATAGCGTCGCCAAGATCGTTCGATCACGATACGCGTACTCGTGGGGTTGATTAACTTTCGCCCAACGAACCTCCAAAACTTAACAAAGCAAAAACCGTAACACGCAGCGTGCACACATCGAGATGTTGTCATGAGAGCATGCGGCATCCTCCACGGACTAACGCCCACGTTTCAATATTTCCGTCATATGATTCGCGAACAGGCCCTTTTGCGCTGATACCATGCCCAGGTGACCGTCTCGAGCGGCCATGACCTGGCGAAAAGCAAATGAGTACATTGCTGAGCTGGGGTCTAGCCGGCCCGCTAAGCTCGCATCGAACTCTTCTGCCGAGAGAGGTATTCTCCGGACTACCCCCATGGCATGGACCAGCTGGTCTCCATGGTGGCTGCCCGGGAAGAAGGTGCAAGGTCGCTACTGCCTTCCTTCTAGGACATGCGGCTTGTGGAACCTGGAAATAACCATGACAGCCCGGACCGTGGACGTGGGTCGCTGCGAGGCTTATCTTCGGGCTTGTTAGTGATGTTGCGATTTCCGGTGGAGATTAGGACCGCGTCGCAAGGTCGCATCCCCACGCCCACAGCTGGTCGTCTCTCGGATTGTGCGAAAGCAGTACTACCGGTGGCAGTTGAGACGCTACTGACGCGGTACAGGTAGCGCGGAAAAGCTAAGAAAGTTCCGTTGGGCGGTCGGTATGCTTAGGGCTTAGGCTAAGGACGATCTGATAGCTGCAACGCAGAGCTATGGCGGGGATGATGTGCCGTGCAACAGCATGCATGAGGCTCAGCTGCAGGCCGCAGATCCTTTTGGTGGCCGTTGGACAGGATCCTCGCAGAAGGACAAGTCGGTGAACGAGTCATGGGGGGATCCAGAATCGAAGAATCTGGAAACGAGGAGGCGAGGCGGAGGGCATCGTCTCAACACGGATACGATGGCGGTCTCGACATGTCTAATTCGCATGGGCGTCGGGATAACCCCCAGCCCCGAACTTCGACCCGCTACCCCAGGTGCATAGATAGCCAGGCTGACAGCGGAGGCCATGCGCGCGGGTTGTAGTCGCCACGACGATGGACGTTGGGGGTTGTTGCATTATTGCCAAGGTGGACGAAGACGCGGTCTGGTCGATGCAAGATGCAAGCCTTGCGTCGGCGACGCAGCCGACATGCTTCCAAGCGTCGGTGTTCCTGGCGGACCGCACCCCCCACGCAAGCCGGCGGCGGTGAGGTTCTGGTGGACGCAAGCCACAGCCTTTTCAGTAGTCCCTTGAACATCCTTCACCTAGCACGCAATAGTTGTGCACCTCGCACAAAATCGCCTGCCAACAGGCACTACGGCGCAATTGTGGCTCCCCCATCTGCGAGCGGAAGCGGGAGCGCAAAGTCTGAAACCCCTGTCCAGTCTAAAAACTGGGTCTTGTGTAGAGACGCGTCAGGGCAAAAAGTTTGAATCTATTCGGGGTGTGTCGTCAAGTTGCCCAGGTGTTGCGGCTCAGTTGGGGCGTTTTGGCGTTTTGGCACGCACCACCAGGCCGCGACGTACACAACACAATGCAAGCCGCAGCCTCCTTTTGCCAACCCACGTTTTCCAAAGCACAGGCTATCAGCCTGCGAGTCCCGACTCATACTGTGTAATCCACCATGTCTAGACCCTCCGAAAAAATAGGGGCCCTAATCCGACTTTTTTTGGCACCATGCTCAAGGTTCTACGCATGTGCCCACAAAAAGGATTGGGCTGACGCTTTATAAATACTAGAGCACCGTATCTCCCTCTGCTCTCATCCACGTATTCCAGTATTCTCATTCCATTCTCACATTATTCTACCATGCCTCCTCAAGTCCCCAGGAATCTGCTGCGCGCCGCGCGCGCCCGCGCTGTTTTCCAGTCCACTAGGCCCTCCCGCCCTGCTGCCCTCAGGTTCCAGAGCTCCGAGGCCGTTCGCCGGACACCTGAGAACAACAACGTTTACAACGCCCCTCCCAGGACATCCTCCCAACGAAAGGAGGAGAAGTTTGCCGCTGGCACCACCACATCGCAGCGCCAAACACCCGCAGCTCCCCTCAAGCTCAGCAGCAAGAACCTCTCCCAACTCCAGAATGTCGCTGTCCCCACCTACCAGCGTGAGGGCGTCAAGCAAGGCATTGTCCACGTTGGTGTTGGTGGTTTCCACCGAGCCCATCTCGCAGCCTACGTCGACACTCTTCTTGAGCAATTCGCCGTAAAGGACTGGTCCATCTGCGGTGTTGACCTTCAGCCATTCGCTGCTCCCATGCGCGATGCCCTGAAGCCCCAAGACAACCTCTACACCATCATCGAGCGTGCCGCTGAGGGCACCACCGCCCGCGTCTGCGGTTCCATCACCGACTACCTCTTTGCTCCCGACAGCGCTGAGGCTGTCATCGCCAAGATGGCTCATCCCGACACCCACATCGTTTCCATGACTGTTACCGAGAGCGGTTACTACATGAACGAGAACACCCACCAGCTCCAAACCGACCACCCAGATGTTGCCGCCGATTTGGCTGGTGAGCAGCCACCCCGCACTGTTTTCGGTTACCTCTACGCTGCCATGGAGAGGCGCCACGCCGCTGGTCTCCGACCCTTCACCGTTCTCTCCTGCGACAACATGCAGAAGAACGGTGACATCAGCCGCAACATGCTGGTCTCATTCGCCCGCCACCAGAACCCCGAGGTTGCCGACTGGATCGCCAACAACGGTGCCTTCCCCAACTCCATGGTCGACCGTATCACTCCCCGTACCAACGACGAGGACAAGGTCAGCCTAGCCGAGAACTTTGGTGTTGAGGATGCCTGGCCCGTTGTCACCGAGCCCTTCCACCAGTGGGTTCTCGAGGACAAGTTCGTCGACGGCCGCCCACCTTTCGAGAAGGCCGGTGTCCAGATCGTTCCCGACGTGCACAAGGTCGAGGAGTACGAGATGATCAAGCTCCGCCTCCTTAACGGCAGCCACTCCGCCATGGGATACGCCGGTCAGCTCGCTGGCTTCACCTACATCCACGAAGTCATCGGCCACCCAGTCTACCGCCAGTTCGTCATCAACATGATGAACCAGGAAGTGAAGCCGCTCCTTCCCCAGATCCCCGGTGTCAGCGTTGATGACTACATCAACACCCTCCTCGGCCGTTTCTCCAACCCCACCCTCAAGGACGAGCTTCCCCGTATCTGCCTTGGTGGCTCCGGCAAGATTCCCCAGTTCATCATGCCCAGTATTGCTGAGCAGATCGTTGCCAACGGACCTCTCCGCCGCCTCACTCTCGTAGCTGCCGCCTGGTTCCGCTACAACAGCGGAATCGATGACGCCGGCAAGACCTTCAAGGTCGACGACCCCATGGTCGAGGAGCTCCAGTCCTACGCTGCCCAGGGCCCCATGGCTCAGCTTGAGATCAAGACTCTTTTCGGTAACGATCTCCGTGACGACAAGCGCTTCGTCTCTGAGCTCAAGGCCGCATTGGAGGGCCTCGAGCGCGAGGGCGCTCTTGCTATGATTGAGAAGTACGCTTAGGTGTGCATTTAAAGAAAGAGATACCCCCAGGGCGGCAAACGTTTTGTGTCGCTTTCAACCAGGCTTTAGGTCTTTACTTTTTGGCATTGCATGCGAAGCATATAGATGATAGATGGGTTTTTCTACTGGCGTTTCCCAAAAAGAAAGTGTTATACTGAGCGTTTTTATATAGCATTTTAATTACAGCCTTTGATCGTTATACTATCGTCTTTTGCTGTGTCTTAATCGTATTGCTGATTTTCCCATACTATCCAGATACTCAAAAAAAAAGCGTTCCACGCAATTCACGTCCCCAGCCTCCAGGCGATATCACAACGACCCACGACAAAACCCCTCAAAAGAGCGGTGTCTGGCATCATTGCTGTCAAACTCGCATTCCCCATCTTTCCACCCCTCAACCAAAGATCTTCCTC